GGTTGGTCTTGGTGATGGTGCAGATGACAAGGTTGGGTTGAGTCTTGCTCATGGTGGAGATGTCAAGGTCGGGTTGGTCTTCATGGGGGTATCAGAGCTGGGTAGCTCTTGGTGTGGATGTAGTGGGTGAAGGTTGGTTCTGGCCATGGTGGGGAGGTAGTGGCTGAAAATTGGGCATGGTGGGGACATTGAGGTTGGGTTCGTCTTGGTGCTGGTGGTTGGCTCCGTTGGGTGCCAGTTGGCTCCATTGAGTGTGGTTGGTTCCATTGGGTGCCGCTTGTCTCCAGTGGGTGCAGGTTGGCTCCATTGAGTGCTGGTTGGCTCCATTAGGTGCTGGTTGGCTCTGCTGATTGTGGTTGCCTCAAATGGGTGCTGGTTGGCTCCATTGGGTGCAGTTGGCTCCATTGGGTGCTGCTCGTCTCCTTTGGGTGGTGTTCAGTTCCATTGAGTGCCGCTGGGCTCCACTGGCTGCTGGTTGGTTCCGTTGGGTGCCACTGGGCTCTGTTAAGTGCAGTTGGTTCCGTTGTGTGCCATCCTTCTCCATTGGGTGCCACTGGGCTCCATTGGGTGCCGGTTGGCTCCATGGGGTGCTGGTTGATTCTGTTGGATGCCATTCAGCTCCATTGAGTGTGGTTGACTCCACTGGGTGCTGCTTGGCTAAATTGGGTGCTGGTTGGTTCCATTGGGTGCTGGTTGGCTCCATTGGGTGCTGGTTGGTTCCCTTGGGTGCCACTTGGCTCCACTGAGTGTGGTTGGCTCCACTGAGTGTGGTTGGCTCCACTGGGCGCCGTTTGGCTCCATTGAGTGCTGATGGGCTCCATTGGGTTCCGTTTGGCTCCATGGGGTACTGGTTGGTTCTACTGGGTGCCGTTTGGTTCCAATGGGTGCTGATGGGCTCCATTGGGTTCCGTTTGGCTCCATGGGGTACTGGTTGGTTCTACTGGGTGCCGTTTGGTTCCAATGGGTGCTGCTGGGCTCCATTTAGTGCTGGTTGGCTCCATTGGGTGCCGGTTGGTTCCATTGGGTGCTGCTGGGCTCCATTGGGTGCTGTTGGGTGCCGCTGGGTTCCATTGGGTGCCAGTTTGTTCCATTGGGTGCCGCTGGACTCCGTAGGGTGTCGCTGGGCTCTGTTGGGTGCCGCTGGGCTCTATTGGGTGCCGCTGGGCTCTATTGGGTGCCGCTGGGCTCCGTTGGGTGCCGGTTGGCTCCATCGGCCGTCGCTGTCCCCGCAGGCCCTGTGCGGGTGCACGGTGCACACGCCGACGTTGGACGGCCGCACCATTCCCATGGTGTTCCAGGACATCCTGAAGCCCGGCGTCAAGCGGCGCATCCCGGGCGAGGGCCTGCCCCTGCCGCGCGCCCCGGAGCAGCGCGGGGACCTGGTCATCGAGTTCGAGGTCAAGTTCCCAGACCGGATCCCCCCGGCATCCCGGAGCCTCCTGGAGCAGATCCTGCCCCTCTGACCCCGCCCCCCCCATGGGGCATTTGGGGCCAGCCCCACACACACAAACAAGAGGCAGGCAGGGGCATGGGGGAGCCCCCTCTGCCCCATTGGAGCTCATGGGGTGGCCCCCACACCATCATAGGGTCCATATGGAGGGTGCTGGGGGAGGGCGTGTCCCCCCCCCAACTCCATCTAAGGGGTCCTGCTGGTCCCCCACTATCACAGAGTGGGGCCTGGGGGTCCTTAGGGGGTGTCCCCCCCCCCATCTTGAGCGTCATGAGGTGTCCTTAGGGTGTCCTATATCCACTCTCTTGGGATGTTCCCTCCACCCCATCTTGCTCATGGGGTGACTTCAGGGTGTCCCACCCCCCCTATATTGGGGTCCTGGGGTCCCATCCCCCCCCAACCCCATCTATGAGGTCCTGGGGTGTCCTTAGGGTGCCCACCCCCCCTTCTCTCTGCTCTGGTGGCCTTGGGGTGTCCTTGTCCTGTGTCCACCCCCCCATCTCTGTGCTCTGGGCGGGGGGTTTAGGGTCCCCCGCTTGGGGGTCGTGGGGTTCACTGCCCCCCCAATGATTTAGGGGTCTCCAAACTCCATTATAGGGGTCCCCATGCCCTTGCCCCCCAATTCTTTGGGGTCCCCCCATCTTCTTCCCCCTAATTTGGGGTCCCCCCATCATTCCCCCACTTTGGGGTCCCCCCCATCCTCCTCCCCACCTTCATTCTCCACCCCATTTGGGGTTCCCCCCTCCCTCATCTCATCCCTTCCCCAGTTTGGGGTCTTCCCCCCATCATTTCCCCCCCTTGCTCTCCCCCCCCCCCATCATATCCCCTCCTACTTGGGGTCCCTCCCATCCTTCACCCCCAACTTTGGGGTCCCCCCCATCATTCCCCCCATTACCCCCCACTTTGGGGTCCCCCTCGGAAGGGGGAGGGGCATCACAGTATCCCCTCCCCCCCTCCCCCTTTACCCCCCATCCCAATCCATGGGGGACCCCCCATTGAGTGGGGGGTGTTGGGGGGCCGCGGGCGGCTCTGGAGGGGGTCAAGGGGGGGGGTCTATGGGGGGGCGGGTCCCTCATATCCTTTGGGATGAATCCGCCCGGAAAAGGGGCTGTTCCTGCCGGAACTCTCGTGGCTTTGTATAAAGCATCAAACCTGCCCCCGGCTGCGAGCTTTTTTTTGGGGGGACCCCAAAATGGGGTTTGGGGACCCCCAGTGTGGGGGTGGGAGCCATAAATGTGGGGTGAGAACCCCCCAAATTGGGGTCTGGGACCCCCAGTTGGGGTCTGGGGTGTCCAAATGGGGACTGGGACCCCCAAAATAGGGTCTGGGACCCCTAAATTGGTCTCTGGGATCCCCAAATGGGGACTGGAACCCCCCAAATGGGGTCTGGGACCCCCAAAATAGGGACTGGGACCCCCAAATTGGGGTGTGGGGGCCATAAATGGGATCTGGGACCCCCCCAGATGGGGTTTGGGAGCCATAAATGTGGGGTGGGACCCCCAAATTGGGGTGTGGGAGCCATAAATGGGGTCTGGACCCCCAAATGAAGACTGGGACATGAAAATGGGGTCTGGGAGGCTCAAATCTGGGGTGAGACCCCCCCCACTGGGGTCTGGGACCCCCAAATTGGGGTTTGAGACCCCCAGATGGGGACTGGGACCCCCAAAATAGGGTTTAGGAGCCATAAATGTGGGATGAGACCCCCCAACGGGGTCTGGGACCCCCAAATTGGCATTTGCGACCCCCAAAATAGGGTCTGGGACCCCCAATTTGGGGTGTGGGAGCCATAAATGGGGTCTGGGACCTCCCTAAATGGGTTTGGGAGCCATAAATGTGGGGTCGGACCCCCCCAATGGGGTCTGGGACCCCCAAAATGGGTCCTATGCCCCCAAAGGGGTCTGGGACCGTGGGTCCTCCCGCCCGCCGTGGGGCGCAATTCCCGGTACCGCCCACCCCGGGGACTCGGAGCTCTCGCTCCTGATTGGCTGTGGGCGGCCCCACCCTCGGGGGAATGCGAGGCCGGGCGCGCCCACCGCCCGGAGCGCAGGGGGGGAGCCCTTTCCTGCCCACGCCACCTCCCATTGGTCAGCGGGGCTGGGCGGCGGCGCTGATTGGTCAAAGGGCACTTTGGCCCCGCCCTCCCGGAAGTGTCGCTCCGGCTGCAGCGCCCGGCGGAGGGTCCGGCGGTGAGCGCCGGGGGGGGGAAGTTCGGGACAGGGGGGTTCGGGGGGGTCCGGAAAGAGCCGAGGGGTTCCGAGGGGGTTCCGAAAGGTCCCGGGGAGGTTCGAAGGGATCCCAAGGGTCTCGGGGGGGGTCCGGAAGGTCCCGAAGGGTCCCGGAAAGACCCGAGGGGGCCCGAAGGGTCCTGGGGAGGCTCGGAAGGGTCCGAAGGGTCCCGGAGAATCCCGAGGGATCCTGAATGGTTCCGGAGGGTCCCGATCGGGTCCGAGGAGTCCCGAAGGGTCCGGTGGGGATCCGAAGGGTCCCGGAGAGACCCGAGGGGTTCTGAAGGGGTCCGGAGGGTCCCGATGGGGTCCGGGGAGGCTCCGAAGGGTCCGGGGGAATCCGAGGGGTTCCGGGGGTCCCTGGTGGGGTCCGGGGGGTCCCGAAGGGTCCCGGGGAGGCTCCGAAGAATTCCGAGGGGTCCCGGGGGGGTCCCGAAGGGTTCCAGGGAGTCGTGAAGGGGTCCGAAAGGTCCCCTATTGCCCCTCCCCGTGCCTCACCTGTCCCCCATTGACCTCCCATACCCCCCGTTGCCCCGCGTTCGCCTTATTCCACCATTCCCCCGCTACCCCCAATTCCCCATTACTCCGTTGCCCCCATTACCCCTCATTCAAACCATATATTCCCCCCCTCCATTCACCCCCATTCACCTCCACCTCCCTTCACCCCCCTCCATTCACCCCCATTTATTCACTCCCCTCTATTCACCTGCATTCACCCCCATTCACCCTCCTCCATTCCCCTTCATTCACCGCCCTCCATTCACCCCCATTCCCCCCCTCCATTCACACCCATTTATTCACTCCCCTCTATTCACCTGCATTCACCCCCATTTCCCCCTTCCATTCCCCTCCATTCCCACCCATTTATTCACGCCTCCATTCCCCCCTTTCATTGCCCCCATTCCCTCCCTCCATTCCCCTCCATTTCCCCCCATTCACCCCCCTCCATTCATCCATTTACCCCCATTTATTCACTACCCCCCCATTTCCCCCCATTCATTCCCCCCTCCATTTACCCCCATTCCCCCCCATTCATTGCCCCCCCAATTCACCCCGCTCCATCTCCCCCTCCATTCCCCCATTCACCCCCATTCATTCATTCCCCCCATTCATTCCCCCCTCCATTTACCCCCATTCCCCCCCATTCATTGCCCCCCCAATTCACCCCGCTCCATCTCCCCCTCCATTCCCCCATTCACCCCCATTTATTCACTCCCCCCATTCATTCCCCCCTCCATTTACCCCCATTCTCCCCCCCATTCACCCCCCTCTCCCTTCCCCCCCCACAGCTCCCCATCCTCCTCCCCTCCCGCTCCGCGCCCCCCCCCCCGCTCCCCGCCGATGCCGCTGGGGCTGAGCCGCCGCAAGAAGCCGCCGCCGCTGGTGGAGAACGAGGAGGAGGCGGCGGGGGGCGGCGGCGGCGCCGGGGGCAGCGGGGCCGAGGCGGGGCCCGGGGGCAGCGGCGGGGCCGGGGCCGGGGCCGGGCCGGGGCCGGGGTCGGGGCCGCTGCGGCCGCGGCTCGCGTTCCACACGCAGCTGGCGCACGGGAGCCCCACGGGGCGCGTGGAGGGGTTCAGCAACGTCCGAGAGCTCTACGGCAAGATCGCGGCCGCCTTCGGGATCGCCCCCGCAGAGGTGGGGGGGAATGGGGATGAATGGGGGTAATGGGATCCTTTGGGGTATATGGGGTGAATGGGGGTAACGGGATCCTTTGGGGTATATGGGGTGAATGGGAGTAACGGGATCCTATGGGGTACATGGGGTGAATGGGGATGAATGGCGGTAACGGGATCCTTTGGGGTATATGGGGTGAATGGGGGTAACGGGATCCTATGGGGTATATGGGGTGAATAGGGATGAATGGGGGTAATGGGATCCTTTGGGGTATATGGGGTGAATGGGGGTAATGGGATCCTTTGGGGTATATGGGGTGAATGGGGGTAACGGGATCCTATGGGGTACATGGGGTGAATGGGGATGAATGGCGGTAACGGGATCCTTTGGGGTATATGGGGTGAATGGGGGTAATGGGATCCTTTGGGGTATATGGGGTGAATGGGAGTAACGGGATCCTATGGGGTATATGGGGGGAATGGGGGTAATGGGATCCTATGGGGTTCATGGGGTGAATGGGGATGAATGGCGGTAACGGGATCCTATGGGGTATATGGGGGTGAGTGGGGATGAATGGGGGATGTGGGAATGGCGATGAATGGGGTAATGGGGATGAATGGGGGATGTGGGAATGGCGATGAATGGGGGGAATGGGGGTGAATGGGGGATGTGGGAATGGCGATGAATGGGAGGAATGGGGATGAATGGGAGAAGTGGGAATGGGGATGAATGGGTAATGGGGATGAATGGGGGAAGTGAGAATGGGGATGAATGGGGAATGGGGTCCTATGGGATATATGGGGGAATGGGGGGAATGGGGATGAATAGGGGGAATGGGGATGAATGGGGGCAGGTTGGAATGGGGGTAATGGGGATGAATGGGGTGAAGGGGGGTGATGGGGGAATGGAGACAATAGGGGTGAATGGGGATGAATGGGAGCAATGGGGGAATGAGGGAATGGGGGTGATTGGGGAATGGGGACAATGGGGGAATGGGGAGAATGGGGCAATGAGGGAATTGGGGGAATGGGGGTAGTGGGGTGCTGGGGGGGTACCTGAGGGGCTAATGGGACCCACCCCACTGTGTCCCATTGTGGTGTCCCCCTTGTGTCTCCCATTGTGTTTCACATGGGGGCTGCCCCATTATGTCCCATTGTGTCTCCCATTGTCCCCATTGCCTCCATCGCCCCCATTTTCCCCATCACCCCCATGCCCCCTTCACCCCCACCGTGCCCCATTGGCAGGTGATGTTCTGCACGCTCAACACGCACAAGGTGGACATGGAGAAGCTCCTGGGGGGCCAGATCGGCCTCGAGGACTTCATCTTCGCACACACGCGGGGCCAGCGCAAGCGCGTCGAGGTCTTCAAGTCAGAGGAGGCGCTGGGGCTCACCATCACCGACAACGGCGCCGGCTACGCCTTCATCAAGGTGCCCCCGGGGGGCGCTGTGGGGCGGGGGGCACCAAGCGGCAGTGGGGTGGGGATGGAGAAGGTCAATGGGTGCTATTGGGGGGGCATAGGGGGATGTGGGGAGCCTTGGGGGCATCTCAGAGGGTACCAGGGCAATGGGATGGGGATGGAGAAGTTGAATGGGTGCTATTGGGGGCATAGGGGGATGTGGGGACCCAAAGGTGGTCCCTGAGCTGCCCTGGGGGACCTGGGGACCTCCTGGGGTCTATGGGGACATCTTGGGTGGCCATTGGGACCTCTTGGGTGTCTATGGGTGCCCATGGGGACCATTTGGGTGGCTATGGGGCCCTGTTGGGTGTCCATGAGTGCACAGGGGGTCTCTTTGGTGCCTATAGGTGCCCATGAGGCCCTCTTGGGTGCCTGTAGGTGGCCATGGGAACCCTTTGGGTGTCTATGGGTGGCCATGGGGCCCTCTTTGGTGGCTCTGGGTGCCCATGGGGACCTCTTGGTGGCCATGGAGACCCTTTGTGTTTCTATGGGTGGCCCTGGGGCCCTCTTTGGTGCCTATGGGTGGCCACGGGGACCCCTTTGGGTGCCCATGGAGCCCCCCCGTGTCCCGCAGCGCATCCGCGAGGGCAGCGTCATCGCCCGCATCCCCGTGATCGGGGTCGGGGACGTGATCGAGGCCATCGATGGACGCAGCCTCGTGGGCGCCCGGCACTTCGAGGTGGCCAAAGTGCTCAAGGAGCTGCCCCGCGGGCGGACCTTTGCCCTGCACCTCACTGAGCCCCGCAGGGCCTTCGGTGGGTGCTCAATGGGGGGTCCCAATGAGCGGTTCCCAGTAGGAGGCAATAGGACGGTCCCAATGGGAGGCAGTGGGGGTGTCCCAATGGGAGGCAGTTGGGGGGTCAAAATGGGAGGCAATGGGAGGTCTCAATGGGAGGCAATGGGAGGGTCCCAATAGGAGGCAGTAGGGGGGTCCCAATGGGGGGGTCTCAATGGGAGGGGCACAATGGGAGAGAATGGGAGGGGTCCCAATTGGAGGCAATGGGAGGGGCCCAATGGGACGCAATGGAAGGGGGCCCAATGGCAGGAGTCCCAATGGGAGGCAATGGGAAGGGTCCCCTCAGTTGCACTGGGAGCCCCCCCAGCCTTCCCCCCCCCCCCCCCCGCTGTGGGGTCAGGGCTTGGTTTGGAGCCCACCCGGGGAGCGTCCCCCCCCCTGACCCCCCATTTCCCTTCCAGACATGATCGCCCCAAGGGCAGGGGGGGGCCGAGGGGGGGGCACTCCCATGGGCTCCGGTCGGGGCACCCTGCGCCTGCGCGCCCATGGCCCCCCCACCCTCGAGGAGCAGGTACGGAGACCCCCATCATGGGGACCCCCCAATATCCCTGTTCCCCCCCCATCATGGAGACACCCCCCCCATACCCCTGATCCCCCCCATCATGGGGACCCTCCCATATCCCTGACCCCCCCCATCATGGGGATGCCCCCATACCCCTGACCCCCCCCATCATGGGGACCCCCCCCCATATCCCTGATCCCCTCCATCATGGGGACCCCCCCATACCCCTGATCCCCCCATCATGGAGACCCCCCCCCATATCTCTGACTCCCTCATCATGGAGAGCCCCCCTATACTGGGGACCCCCCCAACCCCTCTGTGCCCCCCCCAGCCCTCAGCCTTCGAGGAGCGTGCAGTGGCCAAGGTGGACGATTTGCTGGAGAGTTACATGGGCATCCGGGACAGCGAGCTGGGTGAGAGCCCCCTCCACAGCACCCATGGGTGCTAGGACCCCCTCATGGGACCCTTCTATGGGACCCCCCCCATGGAGCCCCTCTAATGGGTGCTGGGATGACCCCCCTTGGGACCCTTCTATGGGACCCCCCCCAATGGGTGCTGGGCCTCCCTCCCATGGGATACCCCCATGGGACCCCACTAATGGGTGCTGGCACCCCATCAATGAGGCCCTCCAATGGGACCGCCCCCAATGGGTGCTGGGACCCCTCCATGAGAATCCCCCCATGAAGTCTCCCCCATGGGACCTCCCCTAATGGGTGCTGGCATCCCCATGGGACACCCCCCCCCCCCCCATATAATCCCTCCTAATGGGTGCTGGGACTGGATCCCCCCATGGGAACCCTCTATAAGACCCCCCCCAATGGGTGCTTGGACCCCTCCATGGGACCCCCCTCTAACGGCTGCTGGACCCCCTCCACTGTCATTCCTGTATCCCTGCAGCCGCCACCATGGTGGAGCTGGGCCGGGATGCTCCGGACCCGGATGCGCTGGCGCAGGCCCTGGATTCCCAGCTCGGGGACTTCGCCTTCCCGGATGAGTTCGTCTTCGACGTCTGGGGGGCCATCGGCGATGCCAAAGTGGGGCGCGGATGAGGGGGACCCCCCCACCATGGACCCCCATCAAGACCACTACAAACCCCCCTCCCCCCCTTAAATGGGCCCCCTCAAAAAGCTGGACCCCCCTCAAAAACTGCTAGAGATGGGTGCCCCCCCCCTTAGCACGTTCCCAATGGATGCTTCCAACCATGCCCCCCCCCCAAACTGGGACCACCCCCCTCATTGGGGGGGCGTCTCTATGGACCTAAAGGTGCCCCCGCCCCCAATCCACCCTAGGGCTTGAAGCTTAACCCCCTCCCCTTATTGACCCCCCGTGACACTAATGCCCCCCCCAGGGTGATGGATGAGGGTTCCCCCCCTTTGAGCTTTGCTATGGTGGGGGTGGGGGGACTGGAGCTGCCCTGTGGTGCCCCAATGAGACAGGACCCCCCCTCACCCCCCGGTGCCAACCTGAGCCCGTCACTGACCCCCCCCATCGCACTGACTACCTCGGGGGGGCACAGCACAACCCCCCCCCGGTCACTGTGTCCCTATTGGGGGGGGGGCAGTTACGGGGGGGGGGGGGGGGCTTGTGTCATTCCCCCCCTCCCCCGGGGCTTATTTTTGTATCTGCCACTAAAGGTGATTTTACCATAAAGAGGAGAATTTGGGGGGGGGGGGCACGCGGTATGGGAAGGAGCAGAGGCCACTGATGCTGGACGCCATCGGTGCCGGCATCGTCTGCTGGACTGGGGGCATGGAGCCGTGCTGGGGGCTCCGGGGGGGGCTGGCAGAGGATCCACTCATGGCAGTGCCTCCTTGAGGTGTAGCCCCCCGCTTGCTTGGCCCTGGCACAGCCGTGGCCCCCGCTCGTCCGCCCCACAACCCGGGAGACGCTGGTGCGGGTGTCCCAGCACGTGAGGGGGCCGCCGGTGTCACCCTACGGGGGAGAAACGGGATGAGGATGGGGATGCGGATGGGTGGCCATGGCAATGCCGAAGGGGACCGCTGCTGTCACCCTATGGAGGAGAAGGGGACGGGATGGGGATGGGTGCGGGTGCCCATGGCCCGTTCGGGGTCCCTGGCTCCGATCTCCCAGCCTCGATCCCGGTCGGTTCCGGGTCCCCCCCCCGGTTCCCCTCCAGCCGCGCTCGGTGCTTCCTTCCTGAGTGCTGACACCAGCGCCGTCCCCTTGGTCCTCCTGCGGTGGCCGCAGCGGGACCGGGTGGGACTGGATGGGCAATGAACCGGTCCAAACGGGTCCAAACTGATCCAAACGGGTTCAAACCTGTTCAGACGGGTCCAAACTGATCCAAACCGGTCCAAACGGGTCCAAGCTGGTTCAAACCATCCAAAGTGGTCCAAACCTGTTCAAACCGATTCAAACCGGTCCAAACTTTTTCAAACGGGTCCAAACTGGTTCAAATGGGTCCAAACGGGTCCAAACTGGTTCAAGCTGGTCCAAAGCAGTTCAAACAGGTCCACACCTGGAGCAGGTTCGGGGTCCCGGATTCCCCTTCCTCGTCCCTGGCTCCGACCTCCCAGCCTCGATCCCGGTCGGTTCCTGGTCCCCCCCCGGTTCCTCCCCGGCCGCGCTCGGTGTTTCCTTCCTGAGTGCTGACACCAGCGCCATCCCCTTGTTCCTCCTTCGGCGGCCGCAGCGGGACCGGACGGGACCGGACGGGCAATGGGGCCGGACCCGCTCCCCCTCCTCCTCCTCCTCCTCCTCCCAGGTCGGTTCCCCCCGCACCGCGCTCCCCGGAGCCGGGGTTTCCCGGTGCCTGACCCCGGTTCCCACCGCAGGAGCCGCGGCTCCTCCTCCTCCTCCCCTCGTGCTCCTGCTCGGCACCGACGGCCCCCCCCGCATCGGCTGCTTCGCCCCGAAGCGCTTCTCCGGTAGCGCCTTCGAGCTGCTGGCGGCCGGGTCCCGGGCCCCGGTGCGGAGCATCCCGGCCGAGCCGCACCGGCACACGGCCGAGTTCACCCTGGACGCCGCCGCCGCCGCCTCCCGCTGCTACTGGTGTCGGTACCGGAGCCCCAACGGCAGCGCCTGGGAGACGTCGGAGCTCAGCGAGGGGATCGCGGTGACTGGTGCGGGATGGGGATGGCATGGAGATGGGATGGGGATGGGATGGGGATGGGATGGGGATGGCATGGAGATGGGATGGGGATGGCATGGAGATGGCATGGAGATGGGATGGGGATGGCATGGAGATGGGATGGGGATGGCATGGAGATGGGATGGGGATGGGATGGGGATGGCATGGAGATGGGATGGGGATGGCATGGAGATGGCATGGAGATGGGATGGGGATGGCATGGAGATGGGATGGGGATGGGATGGGGATGGGGATGGGATGAGATGAGGATGGAGATGGGATGGGGATGGGGATGGGGATGGGGATGAGGGTGGAGACGGTATGGGGATGGGATGGGCATGGGATGGGGATGAAGGGGGAGCCCCGTTCCCGACGGGGCAGCCCCAAAGCAGCGGCCTCGGTCCCTGCCCGCAGGCTCCGATGACTCCGGGTGCGGGATCCCCGCGGCCGGGACGGAGCCGCCGCTGCCCGGCTCCGAGCCCCGCGGCTCCGCGGCCGCACCGGGGACCCCGCGGCTCCTCCCGCTGCTCGCCCTGGGGCTGCTCGGGGCGCTCTGAAGGGGCGGGACCGGCGCTGCTCCTCCTTCCCCTCCCTCCGGTGCCCCCGTCCCGGTGCTCCCATCCCGGTGCTCCCTTCCCGATGCTCCCTTCCCGGCGCGGTCCCGGTCCCGGAGTAATAAAGGTGTCGGTGCCGGTGCAGGATGTGGTGCTGGACCCAACCCCCGCCGTGTCCTAGATTCCGGTGTCCTGGTCCCAGTCCTGGTCCTCAATCCCGGCTCCTGTTCCCAATCCCAGTCTCCCGTCCTGCTTTCCAGCCCAGTTCCTGATCCCAGTCATCTTCCCGATTCCATTCCTGCTTCCCAGTCCTGGTGCCCATTCACGGTCCTGTTCCTGACCCTGGTTCCCGATGCCGACCTTGGTCCTGGTTTCATTCCCATTCCCGGTTGTCATCCCACTCCCGATTCTATTTCTGCTTCCCAGGGCTGGTCCTGGTTGTGATCCCATTCCCGTTCCCAGTCCCCGTTGTGATCCCATTCCCGTTCCCAGTCCCCGTTGTGATCCCATTCGTGATGTCAGTCCCAGTCCCAGTTGTGATTCCGTTCCTCATGCTGGTCCCGTCCCCAGTCCTAGTTGTGATCCCAATCCCACTTTCAATCCCATTCCTATTCCCAGTTTTGATCCCATTCCTGCTCCCATTCCCCATCCCATTCCCGATCCCCATCCCAGTTGTGATCCCATTCCCGGTCCCAGTTGTGATCCCATTCACGATCCCATTCCCAGTCCCCATTCCTGCTCCTGCTCCAATTCCCGCTCCCATTCCTGCTCCCATTCCTAGTCCCCATTCCTGAACCCGATCCCATTCCTGCTTCCATTCCCGCTTCCATTCCCACTCCCATTCCCTATCCCATTCCCAGCTGTGTTCCCATTCCTGCTCCCATTCCCAGTCCCATTCCCACTCCCATTCCAGCTCCCATTTCTGCTCCCATTCCCAGTCCCCATTCCCCATCCCATTCCCAGCTGTACTCCCATTCCCGATCCCATTCCCGATCCCATTTCCAGTCCCCATTCCTGATCCCGATCCCATTCCCACTCCCATTCCCAGCCCCCATTCCCAACCCCATTCCCAGCTCTGCTCCCATTCCCGATCCCATTCCCAGTCCCCATTCCCTTTCCCATTCCCGGTCCCCATTCCCGGTCCCCATTCCCGACCCCATTCCCGGTCCCCATTCCCAGTCCCCATTCCCGACCCCATTCCCAGTCCCCAGTCCCTTTCTCATTCCCTCTCCCATTCCCAGTCCCCATTCCCTCTCCCATTCCCTTTCCCATTCCCAGTCCCCATTCCCAGTCCCCATTCCCGACCCCATTCCCTCTCCCATTCCCAGTCCCCATTCCCGACCCCATTCCCTCTCCCATTCCCAGTCCCCATTCCCTCTCCCATTCCCTTTCCCATTCCCAGTCCCCATTCCCAGTCCCCATTCCCGACCCCATTCCCTCTCCCATTCCCAGTCCCCATTCCCGACCCCATTCCCTCTCCCATTCCCAGTCCCCATTCCCTCTCCCATTCCCTTTCCCATTCCCAGTCCCCATTCCCAGTCCCCATTCCCAGTCCCCATTCCCGACCCCATTTCCTCTCCCATTCCCAGTCCTCATTCCCGCTCCCGCTCCCATTCCGCCTCCCTCAGTCCTCCCGCGGCCGCCAGCCGGCAGGGGTCGCTGTGCGCGGTGTCGGCGGCGCTGGTGTCGGCGGTGGGCGTGTCCCGCGCTGGGGGGCGTGTCCTGCGCGCGGCGGCTCAAGATGGCCGCGGTGTCGGTGTTCGCCGGCGTGCGGCTGCTCACGATCGGGGACGCCAATGGCGAGCTCCAGCGGCACCAGGAGCAGCAGCCGCTGCGCCTCGAGGTCCGCACCGGGCCCGACAGCGCCGCCCTCGCGCTCCACGGCCGTGAGTGGGGCCGGGGGGCCGGGGCCCCTGCGTGGGGCCTGCGGGGGGGGGGGAGCGGGGGGCTGCGGGGGTCAATGGGAGCTGGGGGGGGGATGTGTGGGTCTGTGAGGGGGGCTGCAGGGGGTCTGGGGGGGTGTGGGTCTGTGAGGGGGGCTGCAGGGGGTCTGGGGGGGTGTGGGTCTGTGAGGGGGGCTGCAGGGGGTCTGGGGGGGTGTGGGTCTGTGAGGGGGGCTGCAGGGGGTCTGGGGGTCTATGGGGGGTGTGGGTCTGTGAGGGGGGCTGCAGGGGGTCTGGGGGTCTATGGGGGGTGTGGGTCTGTGAGGGGGGCTGCAGGGGGTCTGTGGGTCTGTGGGGGGTGTGGGTCTGTGAGGGGGGCTGCAGAGGGTCTGTGGGTCTATGGGGGGTGTGGGTCTGTGAGGGGGGCTGCAGGGGGTCTGGGGGTCTATGGGGGGTGTGGGTCTGTGAGGGGGGCTGCAGGGGGTCTGGGGGTCTATGGGGGGTGTGGGTCTGTGAGGGGGGCTGCAGG